AGGAGAAGAATACATAAACCTGATTAACAGCTACAGAATGATGCAAAATATTATAACACTGAAAATACTGAAGGACACTTTTGAAAAATGGAATCAGAAGTTAATATCAACAATGTCAATAGAGATGTTTGCTTCTATGGATAGATTGTGTGCAAAAGATGTTATGGAAGAAATGGCAGAAGAGGAACAAGTTTTATCTGAGAAGACTGAGACAGGGTTGACACTGAATGTGGATCTGCAAATGACAGACTACAAGAATGACATGGAAAAGATGTCTCATTGGACATACAAAAGAAATTGGTTGATGCTTGAATTGCAAACAATAAACCAAGAGAGTGACCTGTATAATTCTTTTATATTGGATTTACAAAAGAGGTTTGTTAAAGCTTGTATGAATATTGTGAGAAGGGGCAAAAAAGAAATAAAACTACATCAAGTTCTATGACATGACTTGAATGGAGTAAAGATTAAGATTGTTAGAGGTAACAGAAAGGAATGTAAAGTTGGTTTATTTGATCAAGGTTAAAATAGATATGTTATTATTTCTGGCAACCCTTAATGAACTTTTGCTGATATCAGGACTGAAATGGCAATGCCTTACAGATTTAGTTATAGATAAAAGATGAGACATGGGATGAAAAGATCGTTGGTTGTAAATTAAGAGGAGGTGAAAAGTTACTAAAATTGTTTACTTGTGATGAGATTGGAAGTCACCTCTTCGTATATTTCTTTTCTCTTTCTTTATTCTTACTTTTCTTTCTTCTTTTTTTTCTTTTCTCTACTTTTTTTCTTTTCCTTTGCACTTTTTACTCTTTCTACTTGTCTGTCTTTCTTTTAGTTTGTATAAGTTTTTACTATTGCAATTATAATCTTTAATAAAATTATTTTTTAAAAAAAGTTTAAACATTGGGATTTGTAACTAGCATTTGGAGCATGAATCTCTCTCTCTGTCTCATTCTCTCTCTCTCTCACACACACAGACCCATATATTCATGTTCAGACCAATTTTATGTTTCTCATCCAGAAGTCAGGTCCATTGGTATGAACAGGACTTTTCCCCCTTTTAACTCTGGAGAGGATTGCAGCCTCATTTGTCTACTTCTGTCACCATTTTTTCCAAAATAACAGCTCCCTTGCTTTCTCTGGGAAAGATCAGTAGAAGCTGCCACCAATAAATCCTCTTCCACCTACACACATGCGCACACACACACACACACACACACACACAAAATCTGAGCCATTGCTCTTGTTTGAAAAAAGCCATTTGCTATTTGCTTCAGCAGCAAGGTCTCTCAAGGTGCCAAGTGGCATGAAAATAGCTTCATTTCAAAGATCACTTCAGCTATTGAAGATGGGACCAATTGATGAGTAGAGGGTATCACAGTGGTGGCTTCCCTGTTTTTTTCTTTCTTAGATGGAGTGTGAAATAAAGGCTTTGATTCTGTGCATGGACACATCCAATGAACCACGTTAGATGAAATAGGACTTGCATTTGAGGAACCAGCACATGATCAGACTATGATCACTTGGACTGCCATCATGCAGACCAATTTCTGCATTGTTGTGCTGTGGCACAAGATAGTTTTGGATGCTACATGAAATTCAGACTTAAAAACAAAAAACAAGACAATTGGTTCAGAGAGAGTTGATTTTTATTGCATGTTTTCCTAGCAGCCATGTGTTTCCCTTGCAGTGTTAGTCGTTTAAGTGTGGTCCAGCAAAGAAACTCTTCAGAAGATTTTATGCTATAATTTTCCTCTTAATTTTAATGAAGAATCAGAGATTTGTCACCTAGATCGGGGTGTTTGAAGCCATTGGCTTCAAAACAGTGAGTGTGACAGCCAACCAGAACCCCACCCTTGACACATGAGGCTTTGATTGCCCAATTCCACCCGCCATTTTGGAACCAGTGACCATTGCTGCAGATGCCCCTTGGTCAGATTATGGGCCATAAATCTCTCTTTCACCCATGCACACACACACACACACACTGCTTGTGATCAAATCATATGTTTACCTGGAAGTAAATCCTACTGCTACCACTAGATTTTTTCCCCCTTTTAATGCCATTAGGCTATGCTAAAATGGTTTCATGAGAGATGTGAGTTCTGTACAATTCTCATCCTAAGGTTTTTACAACTAGTCTGAACTAAGGAAAGGTGCTGTTTTAATTACCTCTGGTTTTTATTGTGGTTGTACTTTTCAACATGAAGGTTAAGACATACTTGATAAGGTATATATTCCATATTGGTTGTGTATCATTGCTAGGGATAATAAGTAAATAAATGATCACATTAGCTGTGTCATCTTATCCTTGGCATGTCATACTTCCCTCTGAAAATAATAAACTATATATCAAGTTCTTCAGATTTTAATGCTTTAAGTGTGGAGGATAATATGACAATGGACTAGAGTGTGAGTGGGTTGCAGTATTTGGGGTCAGTTTTGGTAGATCAAAATATGACTTGGTTCATATTTTTATGCTAGAACCACAAGATAGTATTCTAATATAAATGTTTTATCATCTTTCAACTGTAGACATTCATTGCTGTGGATTGCTAAGTGCAAGAAAAAGTGACTGCACAGGGCTGCCTTCCTCAATGCTGAACAACCCAGAGACCCCTCAGTCTCGAGGGCATTACAGGATAAAAATGAAAGGAAACATGTCCTTGATCTGCTGGTACAATAAAGGCTATTTTAGATTTTTGACCAATGCTTATTCTCCAGTTCAACAAGGTGAGTGGTTTGTTCTAAAACTGGCTTCTTTCTATGGGAAGGGGAATAGGTAAGGTCTAGATTTTAAAGAAAAATGGATTATCTAGATCAGCATTTCTCAACCTTGGCCGATCAAAGATGCGTGGACTTTAGCTCCCCCAATGTACCCCCCCCGCCGCCCGCGGGGGGGGAGGTTGTGGGGGTCAAGC